CATCAAATTGATTCCAAAATATATCCTGAGCCCTAATAAGAGAGTTTATAGAGGATACTATATATATAAGAATATTAATTAACATAAAATTAATAGCAATTAATTTAAATTAAATTAAAACAAACTTCGATTTGCTCATTCAACTTAACCGAATTTAACTTTTCTTCGATAAAGTTAATAACAACATTTCTGATACTCTTGGAAAGAAAATAAGTTCTTCTTTTGAATGCGTGATAATTAGCTTTCCTAAAATTTGTGACAAGTATATTTCAAGACTGTTATTAAGAAAATATTTTTTTGTCAAAGATAACTGCTTAGAAGAAGGAAAATAAACTGAGTAACCGCTTTATTTAGCAGTGGAATGATATTTTTCTGTGTCATTGACATTTACAAGGAAAATAGTTCGAACATAATTAACGTTTACTAGAAAAATGGTTCACCCGGTTGCAATTCTCTCGCGCTATTACAGTCGCCAGAATATCAAGAATATTTTTCTCGGTGTAATATTTTTTCGGCACGTCGATATCGGACACATCTAATAATATCGTATCACACGTGCAAGAAAACGCGACGTGTCGCCGACGATGATCTCTCTCTGAGGTCTCTCTCTGAGATGAGGGAAAAACTCCTCGCGCCTTTAATTACGGTGCGCGCATCTACGGACGGTGCGCTGCGCGCGCGCAGCTACGTTACGACCGCCGCTAATATTAGTACCATTCGTAGAAACGCATTTCTGAAAAGCAATTAACGCACGATGCAGGGCAGCGCTCGCGTTCGAACGAGCAAATCTCGCGCGTCGATCTCTCTACCCGCTCGCTCGTAATGAGACGTGCGTACGATTCACTTTGATATGCAGATGAACTTTTCAGCACGTTCTTTTCTCCCGCTGGTCTCAGCTCGCTCGCAAATTGGCGTCCCCACGTTCTGCCGATTTCGACGGCGCCGCTTATTGCTGAACGCACGAAAACACCCGTGTCGAAATTTCAACGCTGCTTTGACGCTCTTTGAAGAATAGTTAGCCCTTTCGCAAGTGGTTCGTTAGACTGATGAAAACTTACTTTGACGCGGAAAGAAGAGTCCGATTGAATTTATCTGACGACGAAATAAACCGAACGCGATTACCCTACTGTGTGTGTGTGTTGTACAATTAAAAGTCGGACGCGGGGTTGAAATGTCCACCCGGGCGGCCCCGTGACGCGCGCGAGAGACGTCGCGGAAACAATTGTATTTCGCAATTACGAAATATTTCCGGACTCGTCGCGCGCGCAAACTATTATCAACGACGTGAAGAAGGTGTGCCACGCGTCAAAGAATTCTCAAGCAAAACGGAAGAAATGGCTGTTCGCCGTTCAACAATCTCTCTCTCTCTCTCTCTTGCTCGCATGTCGCTCCGGGACATCGCAGATGCGTGATCCACGAGCGAGGAATCAATAGAAAGCTAAAGATCGCCGTAACACCGTGGATTCAGGCCTTTAACCGTGATCTCAACTGACACTTATCGCTTGACATTTCCGTCATGCGGAAATTCGCAGAACGTACAATTGGAAGAAAAGATATCGCCTCCCTTCTCCCCCACCCTTGCCAGCGTCGTGTATACATCTCGTCACCGTTACTGGAGCGATGCGCGCGCGGGCCATTAAGGAATTTTTCAATTACACTTAACAAATAACCGCGCCACTTGACCGGCAAGTAATATCGCGATCAACGTGCGCCGGCATATGCATTATGCATCGACGATAATTAATTACGCCCGCGTGCGTTCTCATTGTTGGACAAACAAGCGCGATCTGTACGGTCAAATGGCCGTGATTCAAACGACGCCCGAATGTCGTGCGCGTTCGAGTTGCGCCGAAGGCCCGAAATCAGAAAGAAGATCGAGAGAAGAAACTTCTGACATTTGTAACTATGATCACCCTGGTGGAAACTGAACTCCTCGTGGTTCTCCACGAGTGAATTGTGCGTAACGTCGCCACTGGCCAGTAATCTAATGCTCATTTCTCCTAGATAATGGCTAGATAATGGCTGGTTAAATAAAATTAGCTGATGGTTAAACAAAGGAAGTAACAATTACGAGATGAGAAAGACCAGTTACCAGGCAGTAATGTAACACCCATTTCTGTCCTTCTCTTCCTCCACTGTTTTAGATTTTCATAGAACAACCCTCAATTTTGATTTGCCTATTTTTCTTTGTCTTTTTAAAATACTAATGAGTGTACACAGTAGGCCGATTATATATTTTAAAGTAAACAGCGTGCTATGTATTCTGCCATATTTGTTATGTAATATGTAACTAGATCACGAAACTGAATTTACGTTTTAGTGAATAATCGGTCACACGATAACGAACTAGGGACGAGTTAGAGAATTTAATCCAGCCTGTACACCGAGAGAAAGAAATATCCAAAAAAACAAAGAAATACTTCTCCAGTGAGTCCTAACGCGATTTTCACTTAAATCTAAGTTCACTTTATTTAAATCGAATATTATTTATCTAAACCGAGTAAACGTTACTCGGTTTAAATAAAGATAAGGACTTGCCAGAGGAATATTCGTTTGTTTCTCGATATTTGTTTCTTTATTTCAGTGTAACAGTTAGCTACTAGCTTTCGACGAGCAGATACACTTCGGGCAGTGGAGGCCAAAAAGTGACTATAATTTTAATGGAATTTCTCTCAGTGAAGAAAGCCGTTTTTCAGCCGAGTCCCGCGCGAGATCGCCGCTCTCCCTCTCCTCCCTCGCCGCCTGAAGGAGAATCCCCGCGGAATCCGAGGATTCGGACTCTCGGAAATCGGTCTTTCTGCTGACTCGTATTTTCGGCATCTGCCACACCTAACGCGCCACGAAATTCGAGACGTTCCGTATCACCGTTGGGCCACGCGGCCGCCGTGAAAGAGTAAAAAAATAAAGCTCCGCCGAGAGAAAGGGTCGAGAGCGCGGGCTGCGCGCTTCCTGACTCTCTCGCGGGGAACATCAATCAAAATTAAAGCCCGTATTCATCGCCGATACTTAAGCTCACCAATTACAAGCGAGAGGCTCTGCTAGCGATCAACGGGCACGTCTTCGCGCGCGCGTCTTCAATTCCGCTCCTCGGGGATTAACACGCGCGTAACTCTGGAATTTCGAGCGATCGCGCGGAGTCGCGAATCGCTGAGAGTCCTCCGAAGCTCAGCGGCAGCTCGTCGAACTACCCGCATTCCTTTCGGACGCGGGATCCGGCCGTGAAACATCAGGATGACCCCTCATGCCTGATGTCAGCTGAAAGTGTCGCGCAAATTCCTGTCTCACGAGACTTTGCTTTTGAACGAATCAGTGCTGAATGTTATATTGAATTACTTTTTTATACCACCTCGCAATTCTAATGGTCGAACGCGTGATGCACGGAAAATTAATTAATTCCGGTGCATTAATAAATTAGTGTATTCTCATCAGTCTCTCTGTTACTGTAATTTGCCCTCACAATAGCGCGGATAAACAAATAAAAGTATCAAACCGGTAGAAATCAAGTCGTCCTAAGCATCACGATGCTTATAAAGCGCAGACATGAAGAGAGTAATAATGATCTGTGGAGCGATAAATGCAGACATTCGAACGGTAAACACGTATCCAATATTTACTGAGAGAAGTCCCACCGAAATTGTAGTTATTCTCGGCCTCAACTACGTCTTCTTCTGGCTTTAACCCTCAAAATTAGTAGTAGCGATACGTGTGTAAGGTTATTGTCATTGGCACTATAATGACACTTGCTAGAAAAATGGTATCTTGACTATAATTCTTTCATTTGTGATATTACAGTTACAAATACCAGAAATTTCTCCCTCACCGTTCAAAATTCACCGTTGCGGGGGCAAAATCTGTGAGAAAGAATTCCGATCCATATTTCTGACTGATTCTTGCACGAAGAATCATCCTTCCGCAGACTGACTCTGCCCTCGACGATTACGACCCAGCATAACACTTGGTTATATCGTGACATGATTGCGTCGTGATATCTTAATATTTATATTCAAGAAATCGGCGTTTTTTTTTTTTAGAAATGGCCCAAACGGCTCGAGTCACCAGTCAGCGACGAAATGTCTGCGCGAAAGGCGGCGAAATGAGAAATAGGGTTACGCTTCCACGGCGTTTCTCGAAACTGTTGATCGCTCCGGTCGGGCAACGTTGCCGTCGGAGCGCGAGCGAGCGCCTTGTGAGTGCGCAAACTGAAGCGCTTGCAACGCGCAGAAACCCACCAGATATGAAACATTTGAGGTTAAAAGTGTCAAAAAGTCCATTCCGACGAGCCGGTCTTTTCTCTCTGTCGAACATTAACATCGACAATCGAGGCGACGATGAGATTATCGCGAAAAATTCGTGCCCGCTGCTCGCTTCAATTAGACTCCGTGCGATTACAGGCCGTCTAACGATTTTGCGCGTTATTAGCACTGAGTAATGGAGTTCGTTCTTCACACTCAGAAGAAAAGATACGGCAATACAGGTGACAACCGTGCGAATCTTCCGCTCGAGATCAATGCACGCGCATATTTGAACAAACCGTTTCATAGACGCCCCAGTCAAATCGATATTGATTTTAAACGGTTACGATAACTATTATTATCGAGAACTGTAGTCTACGCTACGCTGTGCATTCGGATTTCGGAACGACCTTAAAACAACTTACCAAACTGTACGCATCGATTCTACAAACAAGATTCGTGCGGGTTTTCACCTTTCTAATTGCCACGACTGTATATTACTTCCCGAGCACGTGAATACCAAGAAAATTACACCGAAACGCAGGGGAGAGTATTCCGACTGCGGCCATCGAGTCATCTCCGTCGTCATCATCGACGAATAGCGGCCAGTTGTCCGTCAGTGGTCGGACAAGTCGTCGCGCCAGGATATAGGAAAATAATCACCGGTTGCCCGGTGTGACCGAAGGATATCGCGACGCTGAACGAGAGGCAGGTCCGCCTGGCGAGCGAGCTCCGAGAGGAGAGCAGTCGGGACATCGGTTTCCTTACCTTGGCTGTGCTCGCCCGCGTCGAAGGTCTTACTGGTCATCTGGAACAGCGCGTCCAACGGGCTGCCTTGCCCGGTCGTCCTCTTGCCGTTCTGCCCGGCGTGCTGCTGCTGCTGCTGCGAGGTTTTCCGCTTGAACTGCGGCTGCTGCGGCTGCTGCGGCAGCGCCGGATGATGGAGCCCGGGGTGGAGGCCGTGGTGGAGGGCGGCGTGATGATGGTGATGATGGGCGAGCGGATCCGGACTGCCGGAATCCGACACGGAGCTCCGGCCGGACGACGAGGAGCTGCTCAGCGGTGGCTCGCTGATCGAGCCGGACATGGACGCGAGCGACATCCCCATCAGCGAGAGATCCCGCGGCCCCGAGTGGTGGTGATGGTGGTGCAGGTGGTGGTGATGCGGATGGTGCGGCTGGTGATGGTGGAGGTGATGGTGACGATGCTGATGCCCGAGGCCGGAGTCCGCCGTGTCCCAGGGCCGGACGATTTTCGCCTTCGGCCGATGGGACAGGATGTCCAGGATGCTGAATGATTTGACGCCACGATCGTTCGACTCCCGCTCCCGCTCGTCCTCCTCATCCGAGTGCTGCATCGGCACCATCTTCAGACGCTTCAGCGGCTTGAAGTAATCGTCAGTGGTGCCGGCGGTCGCGTTGTTGTTGCCGCCCGCTGTCCTGCTGTCGATGTCCTCCTCCTCCTCCTCCTCTTCTTCCTCGTCCTCCTCCTCGTCGTCCCTGAGGGTGGTGATGGTGTCGGTGTCACGGGTCCTCGCCCGGCCGTTCGGCACCCTGTAGTCGCCGTTGCGCGAGTAGCCCTCCTCGTCCTCCGTCATCGCCGGATAAGACCTCCTCGGGCTCAGCCGGTCGGCGTAATCCTCCCTCGTCGGCAGCTCGTCCTCCGTGTTCGGCGTCGCCACCACCAGCGGCAGCGGGCTCGGGCAACCCACGGAGATCTCGTCGTCGTCGTTGTCCTGCGCGTTGTCCCCACGGCTCGGCGAGCCTCTGCACGAGGTCCGTCGGTGCGCCGGCGAGCCGCTCATGCAGCCGGGCGTCGCGCCGCTGGAGGACACCGTCGTCGACGGCGACATCGTGTACGACTCCGTCATCTCCGTGGTGCACATGCCGCGGTCGAACTAAGCTAATAAACGCGCGAACCAGCTCTTCCTCCTCCTTGTTTCTCTGCCAGCCGGGCCCTTTAAACTACGTACATCTCTCCCGAGAGTGCCACTTTACACACCTTGTACAGTTCTCGTTCACTGGCCCGGCATGTCCCCGGCGATCCACCGGCTCAAGCAGCGCGATCGGAGCGATCTCTTTCTTCCTCTCTCTCTCTTTCTCTCGCACGGTCGCTATCGAGGACTCGTCATCGCGACGGATTCTCCATCGTCGTGGCCGAGACAACGCGCGCGCGAGTCACATTATCGACTTCAGGACTCGAGCCCCTCCTCCCTCCGAAACATCCTCCCGGGTTCTCTCTCTCTCTCTCTTCCGTCGAACGTCCCCTCACCCCAACACTGTCACCAGACGAGACACCAGGTCCTCGCAGAGGAGCTTCATCACGGGAGCGAGCGAGCGATTTTCGGGAGGTCTCGTCGCGCCAACCTGTTCTCCCCCGGGTTCTCACTGAAACACCAGCACACGGCTACTACGCGCGTCCCGACGCCGTTCCGTCCCGGAGGTAGCGAGCGAGATACGCGCGCGAAACGTCAATACGTCGGCGTTTAACGAGCTACGGCGGCTAAGGAGGCAGCCGGGTGCCTCCTCTCTCAGGCCAGTCCAAGCCGGTGACTCGAAATGATACGGGAACGGGGATCCCCGGCGCGGCGTTGGGCAGGCGCTTTCCTCTCGGCCGGTCCGGCGCACGCGTAGGAGGATGGTGGAGCGCTCGTGCCGCGGTGCCGAGTCTCTCGGGCCGCTGCCACGTACCGGGCGCCACCTCCGTCGGCGAAGACCGTGCCCCTTTCGCGGGCCCGGGGGCTGGGCCAACCCGGAGCCCGCCTATGCGTTGCGGCTAAGCCGGCACGGCAAAATGACGCCGCGCCACGGGATGGAATTTTTACGAGACGTACTTAACGTCCCACAGCGGTACCGTCCTTCCTTCCTTTCGTCCTGTTTCTCTCCTCTCTTGGCTAACCTCCGGAGCTCTCCCTCTCCTCCACTCTCTCTCGCTCGCTCTCGCTTGAATACGCGGGACTGACCCTCCACGACGCGAAGAGGACGACTAACGAGGGCCCACCGTGATTTCGTCCCACCCGGAGAGAGCGTGCGTTTCGGCTCTCCGCTGGGCGAAAGGCCGGCTTGGGAAAGGATTATCGGCCGTGGAAAGTTGACGGCCCTCGGTGCCGATAGCGGAGCACGGCGGTGAGAGGAGGGGAGAGGGGGCGAAATATATCGGCCGATGCGCGCGCGACGACGAGGAGCCCGCGTGGAATCGTCCTTCCGCGGTATCATGGGTTATGCATTATGCATAATGTCCCTTTATAATTTGCGTTTGTCAGTTACTTCCTCCGTCATTACATCCGCGTCTTCTTTGCCCGCACCTCGCGGTTATTCGGCTGTAATGCGCGCGAGCGAATGACACGAGTGACGTGTCGGGATTTTTACGCCCGACGACGATTCAAATCGGACGTGTTGCTCTTCGTTTGTACAACGGAGGGATTTCTCTCCCATCGGATCTCGCGGGAAAATTGCTCTCCGAGAGACTGCAACGTCACCGGCACCGCTAGGAGGTTAACTCGAACAAGCGGAAATATCTGCCAAGAGAGCGGCCGAGAGCTGATCGTTTACAGTTGAAGTTGTCAAAGGACACGGAAGACGATGATGGCCGCCGTCAGATCGCTGCCCCGTAATAACGACATTGGAAGATCATCGCGACTATTACATACGGGCCATTATCTACATTCCGATTTGAGAATCGATTTAGCTGTGTAATTGCGGCAATCTTGTCGACAAGTAGCAGTCAGTGTCTCGCGTCGATATTACTCTTCCCCGTCATAGATATCATTAAATTGCTCGAAGTTAGAGGCTTTCACACAGAGCGCGAGAGCAAATGAAGCCGTGCACCATTTTCCCGCAATTATCTCAATTATCTCCTTCTCGATTTTGTTAAGCGTTTCTGCAATGCATCTCGTGTAATACCGAGAAACTTCGATTGAATTCTCCGATATGAAATCTGGTTACTGCCATTCCAGTGGGCATTCCAATCTGTAGTACCCCATATTTGGCTTTTACGTCCGGCTAGCAATATTGGGTCACCGTTACATGTCAGATTCTGAGTAACTATTTATACCGTCAGCCAGTGTCAGTCCAATATTGGATAATTGAATGATAATATTGAACAATCAACATCAGCTAATTAAATTAGTCGCTTGCCAATTGGACCCAATGTTGACAATCGTCCATTAACCATGAATGTATTTCTTGTATACTACTCGACATTGCCCGTGTGGAAATCTCCCCATCTTTTTTCCCACTTATTGCCGGATTCGGATGATATTTCTTTAAGAAAAACTAGAAGGATTCCGATCTGTTTTCCTGACGTAGTATCCGGTTTTGATAAATTATTGGACAAATTTAACAAGTAAGGAATTCTAATTAGATTCCTGTTAGAGAGAGAGAAATTTCTACGTTTGTACACAATAGTAAATATCCGGTTATTCGACTCGGATCCCAGTTGGTAATTCTTAGATCCGTGCTTGGCCTTTTCTTACAGCCTAAGAGAAACGGGAAAAACTAGAAGATGCTTGTAAGAATCCTAGACGTCATATCTATTGACGTAATAATTGACGTAAATTGATGTAATCTCCACGTGGTGGTGTTCTATTAAAAATACTTGAACTAATTGAATTGGTTTTAATAGCATTAATAATGAATAATAGTATTTATTTGGAAGAATGGACGAAGAAATCACTAAATGGTTAAGAGAAGAGGATTTAATCGATTAATATAAATTTCGAATCTTTCCTAAAAATGTTTTTACGTAGTATAGGAACACTTTTGTCAATATAAGAAATACAAATATAGTAACATAAGAGTATATTACATAAGGTGTAGTGACAAGGATAACGTCATAATCGTTGGACTCAGTGCCGGTCATCGAGTTCAAGCGATGTCGTCCTTGGACTGAGGATTGGATGACCACCTCCGCCACTCGAGTTCGAATCCACGCAGGAACACAAATATTATGATATATGAAGTGTGAAGCAATTTTCGAAGTTACCGACAATCCGAACTCGTCTTTAAGGTAAGATGAGAATGTAACTTTTGTAATGTATGTAAGCGTATAAAAAGTATGAGTCCGATCGGATTCCTCTTAAGTTTTCCTAGCCGGTATGTTTTTTAAAAGTCGAACATTTCCCAGCCGGATTCTGACGGAATCTCCAGATTCTAGTGATAAATGAGGAAATCCGACTGGATCTCTGCTGAAATTTCTACATGGATGTCTTTATAATATTAATATAGAAATGTTCCATCACGATGTGGCCCAAAAGTATCGGGACAGGAATCAGGAAAAATCAAGCACACGTAAAGCAAAAATAATCTATCATATTATTCAGTAAGGTGCGTTCAGTTAACGTTTACACACAACTTTAGCGCGATCATGCAATTTGTTTACGACGGCGGAAGAGTCCTGAGATGTAGCGATGTTTATTACTCTCGGATCAATCGCGCTACTGATGTTATCGCAAGAAGATCAGTTCTAAAAAAATATGAACTGTATTGCGCAAGCATCCAATTACGTTTCGATAATAGCCCAGTATTGGTAGCAGATATTTTAACAATAGTTAGCAAGAGATAGAGAGAAAGAGAGAGAGATAGCATAAATCGGCCAAACTATTGGCACTATCTGGTTCTTCTAATATAAAATATTAACTACTTTTCTAAACTGAACGTTAACAACAAGTGTTCTGACAATCGGCGATATTCTATAAAAAAATATATAAAGCAAATTTATTGAGTGAGAATAACCGTTTTAATTTCTACTAGAACATCGTTTTACGTTGTCGTTATGAAGTTCAACAGCACAATCTATAAAAAAATTCTCATAAAATCAGACGTGGTTACTTATTGTCGTGGTGATCTTTTGTGCGAATTGATGAATGGAAGAAAAGCGATATATATATATATATATATATACGTTCCCATTGAACGGGCCCAATTTAAATGCGGTAGAGTCGAAAACCGTTGAATTCTGCGGCGTATGTCATTTTTGTTCTTTTCACGTGGCTTTTAGCCCTGGCGGAATCGCGCATCCGGACGCATCCGACGGACTGTTATGCGTCTACTTCACGCTATCTTTCGAACGTGAATTTCTCTGTTTCTTCGTTTCCTGCGGCAAAACAAAGACCAAAGGCGTGTAATTTGTTAATTTTCGCGAATGACCCGAATTTTACACAAATATATACGCGACGGAGCATATTATCTCGAAACAGTGTCGGATATTATCCACGTAGCTTCGTATTCTTATTCAATGCGTCCAAATATCGTTTAATAGTAATCAATATACATGCGAATGCCAAATAAAATTCCATTCGGTCCGCAGATGAGAAGTTAATCGTCGCTACGCAGAAAAGATTAGCAGAGATCGCGCCGAGATTCCCATCACTTCCGCTCGCCATGCATCGAGCTGTTTCGCCAGCTGATATAAGCGAACGCAAATGTATATAACGCCAATGAAACAATTTGCTTTCACCCGTGCGGAAGGGGGGGGGGGGGGCGTCCGTCTTTTGTGCATTCGAAAATTTCACAAAAGGGGATTTCGGGAGCCTGTAACGGCGATATAGGTAGCTCCGATGAACGCGCGCCGATGATCGTAATAAATCGCGCTAACCAATTTACCGCGCTTAGCGCACACGACGATACTAAATTGTGCGCGATCGCATGCAACGTGTAATCCGATCTTGCCTATCGAGATTGCCGCGGATTAATAGTCGTTATTTCGCGCAAATAGCGTATCTGAAAAATGCACGCCGCGTAAACGCGACGTACACACGGGGGAGAACGATTGTCTCGGCGGGCAATCATGTCGCGCGCGCGCGCGCGCACGATTGATACGAGCCGTTCTTCAGATTGACGAATTAATACTCGGCTGGTAATGCCTCGCGAAATAAATTCCGTCTCT